CGTGCGTGCTGATAGTTCAAAATGAGTTGTAAACCACTGGAATCAAAAAAATTACAATTATTACTGTAGTTTAAAGTCGTGATTCGAATTGTCGTATGATTGGTATTAGAGGGTTTGTCAAAATTAGGTATCAATCATTTTTGGCTAAAAAACAGGAGCTCGCCGAGCACCTTGCATACGTCTGTAACTTTATGAGTGTGTATCAACGCTTTTTGGTAAATTACTATTGAGTATTCGTGAGGAAACATGTTCGAACTTGCGGTATTTAACTAGTACGAACATTTTCTTTCACGAATTCTTAGTAGTAATCTACCAAAATGCGCTAGAACCAATTCATAAACTTGTTAATCAGACGTACGCAAAGCGTGCTCCTGGGTCTTAGCCAGAAAATGAACGATAGAATTCATTATGAACAGCTCGATAGTTGTCTCGTATAAATAAGTTTTTATATGTAGTGTTCGTGTTCGCATGAAACAGGGATGTACACGTTTATTACCATACTTGTCCCCGTTACTTATCTTGTTTTGACTGGAACTCACCCGCTATAATCTGTTTGCACATGTCTCACCGTCTAAAAAATCGTAATGTCGGGTTTACTCAATATTTACTTTTCGCTAAGCTCATTCGTCACTTTCAAACTATGTTCGTATTTGCAATTCATGCAGAAAGTTTATACCTTGCAGTCTGGCTTGTCTGCTTGAATAGCTAATGTTTGCAATGTATGGATTTTGTTTTCCCAAGTACATAGTTTGCCGCCTCCTCACGATGTGCTCGATTTGCAGAATTTTGGTCGATTAGAGATTTCTCATGTGCACCTCCTATTCGCTTTTACTCTTTTTACGTAGTCTATCTGCGTACTTCGCGATACTGTCTCAAATGTCGTCTTAAGGGCCGGGCATGCTTCACGCGATTTCAGTCGCAACGCGATTTGGCAATATTCCAACTGTTCATAACACAGAAGATAGGGCATTTATTCAATCCACATAAGTTATGCACACTGTGCAATGTGCGGTTTGCTAGTGTTGAATCTGAAGACCTCTGGCGAATTGCCAAATCGCGTGAAGTATGCCCGGCCCTTTGATAATTTGGCCTTTTCTGTATGGCGCCTCACACTCCGGAGAGGTATAACTTTTGCAGCAAATTACGAAAATTGGTTAAAATTACAATGATGAGGAAGGTCACGTATTTGCTGGAAATTTTGTCCACGCAAAAAACCACATCCACACAGCTTCCCCAGACTAACTATCTATTTTTTGAAAAGCAAAAGAAGCCTAGTCAGTGAAGTACAGACATGGTATCCGTAAGAAGTGTAGAAAAAGGATCTTCACTGCTGACTTTTTACACGCTTGATCGTTTTTCGTACTTTTTCTTCATAAAGGGCGTAAGAAGGCAAAGAGTTCGAATTTATTCCGTGTAGAAAAAGGTAGAACTTCAGTGAATCTTTACACACTTGGTCGCCTTCACGTACTTTTTTTTTCGTAAAGGGCCAGCAAGAAAAAGTCTTGAACTTTTTAGAGTATTCACCATCAAATTAATGATTGAACTGGTTTGGCATCGAGTATCAACATTTCTCGTATCCACTCTCTGCTTTTCTGGTCTTGATTCATTCCAAGAAAATCAAGTCCAGATCCCGTCGAGCTTACTACGCAAAATGTCATAGACCCTCGTGATTTTGCATCTCTGAGCCTTTCCATACGTTTTTTTTTTCGGCCTGTGTCTCTCAGAATCTGAGAAGCTATCGTTACAAGTCTGGGTTGAGTGCTGAAACGAACTTTACCGATATCTTGCCTCATGTAAGATTGCGGTAGGAGCTTTTAGCACCTTTTTGTCAATATAGGCTGAATTCAGAATTTCGGAAATTCTGAGCATTAGTAGTATTAATTCGCATTTGCGCTTTTAATGTTGTTTAATGAGCTCTTCATATTATGTTGCAATCAGTATTGGATATAAACTTACGAGATGATGTAAGGAAAATTTTTGCATGTTGTGTATACCCATGTTAAAGCATTTGTGAAGTAAATTTGCATAGCAAAAAAGTGCTGCTGTCTGCAGCTATCCTTTGATTCAACTGGATTGGCGGTTGGAAGGCGGGGCTTCGTGGCCTAGTTAAGAGTGTAGATCAGATTAGATCATGATCAGAGAGCACGGGCGCGGGAGCGACGTCGACTGCGTCGCGGGCGCTAACGGCCTTTAGATCGCAACCCCGCCTAGCTGCCAATCCAGTTAAATCAAGGTCAACGTGTGAAGAATCAAACATCTCCTCATGGGTGGATTGTTTTCAAGATTTTTCAAAGTTTAGTTCAAATAGTTGAACCGATTTTCAAGACGATCACCTGGGAAAGATTTAAGTTAGGTTGGTTACGAAATATTTCGTTTAGCATGGAAATCTTCATAAAAACGTTCCTAGTTGTTCTTTGTTCATGATATTTTGCGGAGAAGTAGCTCCAGGCTTCTTCTATCGCATATCAACTATTCAAGGTTTCAAATTGTATCAGTAAGGGACAGTTATGCCCCCACGAGGCTAAAATCTCAAAAGGTCAAATCTGTAAATTTCGAAGCATCGTTTTCATGCTCTAATGGATGTAGAGGGCAGAAATTTGATATTCGGATATAGATAAGTTTTTCCTACTTAGCGACTATTAATAAAGAATGTGATCTGCTGTTTCCAAATTCTTTGGCGAAAAAACCATTTTCTCATATTTGCGCTCAATAAAATTGGAATTTCTCACTTCTTTATGAATTTTTTTATTGCAAAATAAATTCCACTTGAACAGATTTGATTTCCTAATTTTTATTGAAGTGCTTTCCAGCGGTGAACAGTGAACAAAATGTCTGCAGCATCTGTAGGAGCCGCAAAACCGACCGAATTTATTTGTAGCCAACCTAATATAATATTTTCTGACTTGTATTTCTATAAACAAATCGCAAATGTCAAGATTCATCTTTGTACATTCAAACTTGCTTGATTGCAAATGTACTCGTACTTTGTTTGTTCTACGTGTCATAATCTAGTGCAATAATTGTAACCTGTTGCAATCTCTTTTTTGCTCTGTTTGGATAGAAAAAAAGCAAAAATGGCTGTAATTAGATACTAATTCGTGTTTAACTTGTATGTTTAAAAGAAGACCCTTCGGTGGGGAAATTTGGTAAGATATTCAATTTGACAGGTATCCATATAACCACAGCCAAGCCTACTTTGCATTCGATATAGTGTAGTTTTGTAAGAATGCGTGAATTTTAGAAAACTGAACTTACATTTGTGGTTTTTCACGCTGAATCATTCTGTAAGCATTTGTCAGAGTGTTGGAGTCTTGCTCAAATGACATTTCTTAAGTTTCCCTTTGACTAAGAAAATCGGAATTTGTTGCGCCTTAGACCTAGACCACCTTAAGTAATATTCTGGCTTAGACGTACCCATGGTTGATCCAATTGATCCACTTCGTTATTGGTCAATTCACTAATTTGACCAATAGTGAAGTGGATCAACTAGATCAAGTGGAACTATGGCGTGTGCTTTGGGGCTCCAGGTGCTACAAGAAGTATTGGGAGTACTAGATTCTCTAATCATAATTACTGATGAAAAACGCTATGACACTCGACATGACTCGAACTCCTGTAGTGGGGAGAAAAAAGTGATTTCAAGTATTATTCTGGCTTTATGGCGCAAACATCTATTTGTAAAGCTTACGAATCTCTCAAGCTCTTGAATTCCAAGTTATTTTATCATCTTTGTAAACCTTATCGTCATCACTACTAACAAAAGTATCCTAGCGTAAAAATTTGCATATGAAAGCAGGAGTCTTGAGATGGTTTCGCTGTTTAACTGACATTTTTGTAATTTGTCAAAATTAGAAGTTAAACATAATATAAATGACTATCCTATAAGTTGCAATGGATCTCTGTTCGCTAGCACGGTAAAAACTATTCAAAATTGTGGGGCGCAGAAAAACTGATGTTTTCACAGAATTGAGTATAAGATGCAAGATTTATGTGTGATAGTAAATAAGGCTGTCTCGATGCATAGGGGCTTAAGCTACATTCTGTAGAATTTTGTATCGCTAGCTTCATTTTGAACTTGAAAACATCTGAACTTACAGAACACTTACTAACAACGCAAAATACAGTAAAAATGGCAACATGTTTTCGTTATTTTGCTCTTCTTACTGTTGTTTATCGTTCACATAGTTAAAATCCCTCAGAAAAAATTGTTACTAAATTATTTTGTAAGGAAATACTGAGGCGTAAAGGTCTAGAATCCAAGCACTTTCCCGTATGAGACCTTACAAAAGTAGATGTTAGTAGGTAATATTAGGTTGATGCACATTGCACCATTTTCGAAATTCTGTTACTTCATCCAGCTTCGATGATATCTTCTGGTTTGATGAATAATAGAAGGAGCAAATCTTGTGCCTTCTCAAAACGGTCGAGCCAAATTTCCTCGAGGGCATATGGTAATGATATAAGGTGAATAGCGAAATACCCAAAAAGTGGTTTTTTGATTTTTGATCACTAAAGTTGTTAACGTCTGCCAGAATTTAGATTTATTTTTGGCCTAAGATTTATGACATGCTCTTTTTAACCAAGAGAAGTAGGTAGTGATTGAACGTCTCTGCAAGGTTACGAATTTCGTTTTTTTGATTGACTTATCAGTTTATTTCATATCGATTTTCTAAAGTGTACCACAGATTTCTACTTTGATATACCAAAGAGCATATCCTGTAAGTTGATTATTTTGATTGAGCATTTTCAATTAATTTTTTTCTATTTTTTTGGTGCAAGAATTGTGCATCAACATAATTGCTTTGGAGGTTGTGCCTGGCCCTCAACCCTTACAAATGAGTGTATTTTGAAAGCCCTATGAGACGTGAATTCAGAAAACTTTGCTAGTAAATGCTTTTTCACGTGTGTTTCTTATTGATGAATGTTTCAAAAGTTATTTGTGCGCCTTGTTCTTTTGCAAGCACATAAGCATTCTATTTAATAAATGTGCGTTTATTTAGAGTCGATGAATCTTAAGGGCGCTAGATGTTGAGGCCACTACTGAAAGTAATTCGGCCTCTAATTGGTTGGATATTTGGCATATCCATACTATGGTCGTCTATATTCGGAGCATATATTGTTTCTATGTAAGTAAATTTTGATGCCTTCAATTCAAACCTGAATGCGGAAAAATGGGAAATAGAGATGTCATGATTTTGATGACAACGCAAAAAAATTTAGGTTCATATTCCTTATCTTGCTAGGCAAGCATAAAACATGGCGCTCATTCATGGATCGTTCAGTCAGTTTCTGGATGCTGGTTCCTATTGTGAGTGTTGGTTTCCATATATTATTATAATATTTAGAGAAAAAATTCAATGCAATGAAAGTTTCATCAATTTTCAAGACTCCACTAGTAGACCTGCAGACTTGGTCGACAAAGTGACTCCCCTAAACATCCAAATATTGTACCCGTCTCAAAAAACATTTTTGATTTCAAACTTTTCCATTTTTCAGTAGCATTTTAACCAAAAGTTTCCTCGAAATATTTTCTGAACGTTACCTTGAATTTCATCCTTCCAGGTGAAAATTCCTTTGCAGGGCTTCCTGGAGCTAATCTTCGGAATGCGGGTACGAGTTTCTGGTGATGAAATTGAGTATGATGAGCCGGCATTGATCATTATGAACCATAGGACAAGGTACGCTAAAGCTTATGTTAAGTAAAACAGCAGAGACATCCTATTATGTTGGATTCTCAGAAAATTCTTGGGTATTTGTGGGTCATACCTTCAGAAATAAAAAAGCAGAATTTTTCTACTTTGCCAAATTGATCTCAATGTAATACAATCACAAGATAAAGAATTCAAAAAGTCGATATTTATCTTCCATAAAAATTGCACCAAACTTCTTCTTCATAAAAATTCTTGTTCCAGGTTGGATTGGATGTATATGTGGTCAGCCTTGTATCAGATGAACCCGTGGCTTATAACTTCGAATAAAATCTCGCTGAAAGCACAGTTGCAAAGTCTTCCAGGAGCTGGTTAGAGCTCATCAGTTAACTTTTTTTCACTTTCGAACTTATTGATACTTTTCTATAGGATTCGGCATGTCAGCGGCACATTATCTTTTCCTGCAACGAAACATGGAGAAGGATTCGGTGACATTCGATACAGCTATAGAATATTACAAAGGAATGGGTAATAATTACCAGGTACTGGGTGTGCTTGCAGGATGTAAAGCTCCAAGATCTCAGTTTAGATTCTTTTCTTCCCTGAAGGAACGGACAAATCACCGTGGACAACAACGAAGAGTCAAGAGTATGCGAAAAAGAACGGCCTAAAACAATTGAAACATCTTTTGTATCCCCGTGTGGCCGGCTTCCATCATCTTTTGTCGAAAATGAGAAAAGGTATGCTTATTATTCACCATCAGACACGAAGTTTTGAAATCTCAAAACACATAGCACTTTCATTGTTTTGTTCGTCAAGAATTTAAAAAGGCACTTTTTACGTATCAAATTGACGGCGCTAAAAAGTGTGTGGCTGTCTCCTGCTAATTTTGTCTAAAACGAGAAAACGTGTTTCAGAAAAATTTGTGACGTACATCTACGATGTCTCCATTGCTTACCCCTACAATATCGTGCAGTCTGAGGTAAAACGATTTAATTTTACACGTATTTAATAGCTAAACAGCTCTTAAGGGCCGGGCATACTTCACGCGATTTCAGTCGCGACGCGATTTGGCAATTTGCCAGAAGTCTTCTGATCCAACACTGGCACACTGCACATGCATAATGTATATAACCTACCGAACTGATAAGATGGCCTATCTTCTGTACATTTTAAATGTGTTTACAGTGAGGTTGGAATATTGCCAAATCGCTTCGCGACTGAAATTGCGTGAAGTATGCCCGGCCCTTTACAGTGAACTCGAGAAGAAAATTTAGCGTTGTTGATTTGTTTACTAGGTTGGTAAATTTGCACCAAAAATTCAAAAATCATAATCTTTGACGACCTCTAAAAAAACCTTTAACTTTGGCACATGTACATGCCAGACAGAGAGAATCTTGCACTTTCCATTAACACTTACTGCAAAATATATAATTGCCCCTGAAAAATTACCTTTGCTGTTTTTGGATTTTCTCTTTGGGGCTCTTCTTTACGTGTAAGTGATGTCAGAAAACGCATATGCCGGACTCTATAAGGTGTCCAAAAGTTGAAATTTTAGCACGTTTACTGTAGTGGACCAATGAACTATTCTTAGGTCGATTTAATACTCAAAGGCGACTGCCCAAAAGAAGTCCATTTCCATGTTAAGAAGATTGCAGTAAACGATGTTCCACATAGCGAGGCGGACTGCGGTCGCTGGCTTAATGAGTAAGGAATTTTACTCGTACAATTCTAAAGGACAGTCTCTCAGAACAACCAATTTTTAGTCTTTGGTTGGAAAAGGAAGCTCGTTTGGAGGAATACTACTCGGAACCAAAGCCATATAATCGTCGATTTGTCATGGAAAACGGACAACGAATATGGAAGAATGTGGGTTGCCTACAGTAACCAATGGAGTGGTTGAACCGTTCAAAATTTTTCAAAGTGCCTTTGCAGACTAACGAATCAACGCTGCTAGGTATAGGAAAGAAATTCTGTTTTTGTTTCTGGATGTTTGTCGTCACAATTGTTGCCTACCATTTAGTGTTCCTTCGGCCATTGCAGGTTCGAATACACATTTTTTCGAGGCATCAAGTCTTCAACGGTCTTTGCAGCTCGTCGCTTTGTACTTCGTAATATGCTTCTTCGCTATAAAGTTCACTTACGGGACTCTGGACCAACTCGTTTTACAACGATGGAGACAGTCTTTGAAGTCATGAATTGGTGCATAGATATTAGGTTTCTATAATTACGTTGTTGTTTGAACTTTACATTTTTGGTACGCATGCCTGTCACTTGCCCAAAGATTATTTCACGAATTTTGTGCACTTTAATCTTCAGAATTCTGAGTGATCTGTAAACATATTTTGATTAGTTTTCATTAACAGTGGCGTACCCAGATTTCCGTTTGGGGGGGGGGGGGGAGAGGGGGAGACGAAAATTTCTGATGGAGGTGCGGCGTGAGCCACGAAAAAAATTTTCTGGGGCTGTATCGTTTTTTTAAGATTTTTAAAAATTACACTGATTATTAGAGTAGAAACAGGTCACTGGCTTTTTTATAACTGAGTTATTTTAGAATATTTCGCGGCCGAAAAAACAACAAAAATTCCGACGGGGGGGGGGCTCCTCTGTACGCCACTGTTGGTTACTTATCTAGAACTGCTCTCACTCATTGTGATATTCTCAGCTTTCGCTATCGTCAAACTTCGTCTGATATTCATCACCAATGAACTTGAAATATACTGCACGCTTGTACAATGAAACTCGAAATCTCTTAGCTTTATTTACCTTTAAAAAAACTGCACAAAACATGGGATCTTCTTTTACCAAAGCGATTTTGATTGAAGATTGTTTTCATGATTCTGAGGCCAGACAAAAACACGGGTTGGAGGCCGTACCTTCCATGTTCCCTTAAGCTGCGTTCAAATTGATCCCGAAGTCCAGAAACTTCTCAATTCGAGCGCTGTGCTGGAACTCCCCAAGTTTCGGAACAGTATGAACGCAGATTAATTCCCGTGTTTGCTGAGATTCTAATCTTCATGGGATGCAAAAACGACCTATACCCTATACCTTTAAAATTGTCCTGATGATAGCATCGGAATCCACATTTTGCACAATTGTTTCATTTACAGCTAGCTAACAAGGAAATGGTCAAAAGTCGAAGTGGCCAATCCATACAAGCTGCATATCACTAGATGCAGCATAAAACGCTGACACTAAATCTGTCTTCCTTATCTGCAGAGCGCTTTTGTGGACGAAATTATAAGCCGTTGAAGGCCATTATTTTGGTAAGAAATCGTGCGTGTAAAATGCAAACTTTGCCGAACAAAGCCATTCTTGGCTCATGTTGGACCAAAACATGCAACTAGGTCACTTCATATGACCCGTACCTAGAGGTGGCTGAAAGAGCAATAATGTGCTTAATTTCGCAGTTTTTGCATACGGTTTTTTCGCTGTAAAGCTGCTCATAACTTCACCTACAAAGGCGCTCTGCAGATATGGAAGACAGATTTGAAGTCAGCATTTTATGCTGCACAGAATGGTATGCAGCTTGTACGGATTGGCCACTTCGACTTCTGACCATTCCCTTGTAAGCTAAATTGCGCTTGGATTCGAACAAAATGATGGAGTCGTGTTGAGCATTTATTTTATTTTCGAGACGTACACGCAAATGGAAGCTTTTGCGCTCCAAAACAACAAACATGAGAGGAATTACGAGAGTAGTATAGCCAAACCTTTGAAGGCGTCTACACAGAATTGCAGCGCCGGAACAATCATCCGTATTTTTATAGGGTTCCACAAAGGGATGTTCCCAGAGTTTTTAGTGTTTTGCACCTTTTGACCGAAAGGGGGGTTATGGAGAGGCCTGAAAATGGCAGAAACACGGAAGCCGGAACTTTTGATCGCTGCCTATAAACACTCATAAAGACTGGAGCGCACTTTTCTAGAGCACACAATGGAAGATTTGCGATATATCGACAATCAAATCCTAATACATGGTGGAGCAAGGCTGGAAGAAGGGAGGAGAAGGGGGGGGGGTTTACATCTAAAGTGTTGATTGTTATGCCGAAGGAGCATGTGCATAAGAAAGTCTGAAATTGCGTGTTATGGAGAACAATCGAAGAATTGCTAAAGTGCTTTATGCACGGCACCCCCACAGAAATGATGCTTTATGACTTTACATGATTGATCATGTCAAGATGACTCAATGCTTATCATTCTCAAACAGCTAATCGAGGGGCGGCAATGTTCATTCTATTCACAGCTCTAGGACGATGCGAGCGGCTCTACTGTTTCTCATTGTGATCGTCTTCGTGCAGGCAAAAATTCTACGCGAAGGCTCTGCGGAATGGGTGAGTAATGAGGCTGAAGTATACAACAGTGCTTGTACCTTCTATTAATCTTCAAAGAAAGTGAGAATAGTATGTTAGTTATTGTTTTATTATTCAGATACAGGAGTATCGTCGACGAGAACGATATCAGGATTGCTTGAAGCATTGCGTGAACAAGTCAAAGAGAGTAAAGGACAATGAGGTTCTCTGCAGTGAATGTTCTCTACTCCTAAATTCAGATGACTCTATTTAGCTTATCTTCTCATAGTTTTTCTGGAACTAAAAATAAACATTGTTCAGAATTGGAGAAAAATATATGTAACAGATATAAAACAACATTTTACGACCCAAAGGCCCCTCCGGAACCTTAAATTGCCAAAGATTATTACCTTCCTGTAAGCTTCTATTCTCTCACACCACTATCTTGATTTGAAGAAAGTAAACTCGCAGTTTTCTTCTGACGAAAATGAAATGCTTCAAGCCCCGAAAAATTGATATTCTGAACTTGATCGACGTGCACCGACTGGAAATGTCTCAACTCACAGTTTTTTCGTGTTTTTTCGTAACCGATAAAGGAATCGTTTACTTGAGACGCTGGACCAACACTACCATTAATTCTGAGTTAATGATCCGAAAACGCTTTAAGCGCTTTCTATTCTTTTTACAGTGTTTCTATTACCGATTTACTGTGAACATAGTGGACGCACGAGAAGTTGTACAGGTAGTGATTTCCGCTTTTCGTTTGATGCGACTGTGTTATACATACTTTCTCAGTCAGCTTTTCATGAAGCTGCATCCATTCTTCTTCCACCATTGAGTAAGCAAGGCAAGTCAGACCGTCTAAGGCCCCGGGCAGACTTCACGCGATTTGATCGTCGCGACTCAGTCGCGACGAGACAACTGTTACAACATCATTCCATGCCGATCAACTTGCTTTCGGTTGTGATACTTTCCCAGCCCGAAATTTTTGAATGTGAAATGAAAATGAATGGAAATCTTGGCGATTAGATCGCGACGATTAAGTCGCGTGAAGTCTGCCCGGGGCCTAAAGGGCCGGGCATACATCACGTGATTTCATCGCCCAGCGATTCTTCCAACAGACAAGTGTTACAACATCATTTCATGCCGCATCTCCCGCATTTTGGTTGTGATAGTTTTCACGACTGATCGCTACCTTTTTTCCTAGGGCATACTTCGTTTGTCGAAATCGTCGCGATTTGCCCGAATCTCAGCGATATCGCGTCGCTGACTTCAAACGAGTAACGCGACCTAATCGCTGAGATTGGACTTCTTTTCTGAAAGTTTTTATGATCGTTTCTTAGCTTTTTGGGCTGTTTTCTTGTTTACTATTTCAAAAATAGTCATGTTTTGCCAGAGTGCGTTGCTTCACCGTAGATCGATCCTCTTGTATCTATTCGACGGTATCTGTGATGCAAAAATTCAAAGTCGTGAATTTCGTTCAGACTGGGTCTAGAGAATTATCTACTCGCTGGTGCCGAATATCATGGTTATCTTGTGCGGCAGCGCTATTTTCTGGGGCTACCTTGTGTATACGGTAAAGGGGCAAAATTGCGGATTCGCTCTAAATTTGTTGTGGGGAGGGGGTTCATTGGCGCGCTGAACATGATTATCATGATGATTACTTAAGAAGCGCCATTTTCTTGCAATCTGTGTCAACGGCAACAACAACTAGTATTTTTCTTAGGTACTTCATCCTACGAAATGAACACAGTATTCGTCATCAAAACATCAAATAACTTCACTGCGCAAAGATTAGCGGCAAGTTTTTGATTTTGATACTAATGTGGAACGCGTTGAGCCTTTGACGATTTATTAGAAAAACACAAAGGTTCCCCCTCTGCCTATCGGCGTACATGCCGAGGGTTCACTAGGAATAGTTCCATAACAACACGGGATACGCCGCAACCACGAGACCATACCGACACTAGCCTATAGTGAGCGAGCAAGCTCCAATATAAGGGACGGCTCCACGGTCCCACGGACAACCACCATATACTCACCGCAGCCCCGCGCGCATGCCCAAAACGCAATGTGTGTATGATCCCCGTGATCAGCATGTTGAACAACCTCCCAGAGATAACCCCGGCCAAATCCATGGTTTTGTCCCCCTACATGTTCCTAACGTGACCCCAGTGTCGTTTTACCAAGCACATTGATTATGATATTTGGCATCAATGGATCGGATAACCCCTTTGAACCGAGTTTGCGCAAAATCCGCAACTTTAAGCCTAGATACTGGAATAAAGTCAAATTTTAATATGATTCTGCGGTTGGAATTGATTCTGGACTACCGAATAAAAATGCAAATGAAAAAATTAGGCTGAATGTAATACAAATACTTATAAGTAGTCTGACAAGGTAATTATGTGCTCAAGTGGGAGGATGCATGAATCGCCGCAGAAGTATGCCCAACAAGCAGCTAGCGCTTTAGTCGCCGCAAATTCGTCGCTACTCGCAGCAAATCGCGACGACCAGAAGTCGCAGCGATGAAACCGCATGATGTATGCTTGACCTTTAAGGCCCCTGTGCAGGCCGCCACGCGATATGTTCATCTGCCAGATCTCTTAACTCAATTTCGCAGACCGCAAATGCTTACTGCATTCAACTTTTGTGAGGCGATAAAATTTTCTGTATGCTTAGACTAAGTTTGCAACGAGTTATAAGCAACTGTATTGCCTAGTCGGGTCGCGAATGAAATCGCCTGAACTATGCCGGGATTAGCGTGGTGTGATTCTGGGGCGGCATGCATCAATCGCCCGTCCGAGTAAGGATTCCCATTCAGGTACTATCCCCTTCCAATCGCTGTCTGAAGGTCTGTGTCCTTCCTTGTTGTCCACCTTTTGGAGGCCTTACTACCCTAATATAGTAGTAAATGAAAACAGCAGCATTCTGTTCTTTGAAGGCAGCGTCCAGGTAAGTCTGAACCTATGGGGATTTTACGTGGAAAGTATTTTTGGGGCCCTAGCTAAGCCACTGCCCAACCGGCAGCTCAAGTAGTGCCCTAACGCCTGAGATATTCCCCCCGAAACTGGACCCCGCGACAGTGTTTCGCATGGATTCATGGGCGCAAAGCGTGGATCCTGGCGCGAAATGCCATGAATTCATGCGAATACGTTCGCGGGGGCCAGTTTCGAGGAGAATATCTCAGCCGTTAGAGCACTACCTGAGTTGCCGCTTGGGCAGTGCCTTAGGGCCCCAAAAGTACTTTCCACGTAAAAGCCCCATAGGTCCAGATCTGCCTGGACGCTGCCTTTAACACGTTGCGACCGGTGCTGTGCTGCACTTGGTGCAGCACGCTTATTTGAAGGATCTTTTTGACATGCAGAAGAGGTTTCTTTCGGTTTAAAGTTATCAAGCTAAAGGCCTAGGCTACTACTTTTCAAATGACTCTATAGAGCTGTGCCGACCGTATTCGTTTAGGAGATACAATACCGCTCATAATTCGTCAAAAAAGTCGCCGGACTGCGGCGCACTCCGCCACACTCCGCCATTGTGCGCCGGAGTGTGGCGGAGTGCGCCGCAGTCCGGCGACTTTTTTGACGAATTATGAGCGGTATTGTATGAGGGCAAATCAAACAACGGTTGCAACCAGGGTCAAGCGTGTGATGCGACTGTCGCAACGGGGGTCGTAAAGGGGGCCTACGATGAGGGGGGGGGTCGTAAGACGGGGTAGTTTGGATAAAAAAACAGTACGATTGAAAGCAAATCAAATAGCAAGTAATTATTACATGTTCTCAAGAATAAATTCATGGAATGCCGTATTTGATACCAATGTATCAAATAAAAACGAATGAACATTAATTTGAAAACATTTGCAAGCGTAGAAATTCGCTTCATTTGCTGCACTTTTGAAAGATTATGACTTAGTTCTTTTTTATGGGAATCGGTAATTCTCCCGCAAAATATTGTCTCAAACGGGGATCGAACTCTGCTGGCATGACTAAAATGCAAAAATAAACACTTTCAGAAGCTCAAATGCTACTAAAGGCATGTATGTGTGATAGAGATGTTGAATGTACCGATTGGTGTAGACATTCTGCTTCCGAAGGCTCACTGAAGACTCGCACACTCGACAAAAGCGCACATGTTGATCAACGATGACAATCAATAATTCGTAAATCTTTTTGTAATGCCATTTATGCGGCCCTTACAATTTATATGTACTTAAGATAAGCCCTGCTACTGCTGTGCGAAATCTGGTGTTAGTTTATAAACTGCGGATTTTCTTACGATTTTATGTATGGTAGCAAAAAATGAGAAAAGGGGGGTCGCATCTGCGCCTGATCTAAATTTCTCCGGAGCTATTGAAGCTTGTTAGCTGCAAACTTGCTGTAATATGAGGCCATCCCTCTAGTTTTTATCATAAGAATTTCAGGCTATTTTATAACTTCTCTGGTAAGTTACAAAATTTTAAGCCCAAAAATTCCAGTTTTTGCTTTTCAGGATCGTATCTAAATTTCCGAGAGCCTGATCTGAAGTTTTTCGAGCTCACTGCTCCTCAAGGGCTGAAACTTTTTCTATGAATAGTCTGGGCACTATGCTACAGAACCTGTTCTTTGCAGCCTCTCAGTCTTTTCCTGGCCTTAGTTACGAATTTTCAAACTACCGTGCTCATGCATTTTTGACGTCGTTCTGAACGGCGCTGAAGCGGTTTTTTTTCGCGGGAAAATCTGTGGAAGAGGTAAGAACTGAGCTTCTTAGTCGAAAACATTTTTTGTGGTTCAAGAATGTCATTTTGCTCTCCGTGTAAAAATTTGTGTCGCATACGGGAATCGAATTTGCTGACCTGAAGTATGCCTGAAAATTCAAAAGTAAACTTGCAGAATCTCAAACAATATTGAAGGTGTGTATATGTGCTAGAGATGCTGGGCGCACTCATTGGCCTAGAAATTCTGCTTCCGAAACCTCGCTGAAGTTCTCACGCAGGTGTTTTTTGAGATTGACATTCGTTTATGCAGGTTACCGGGAGAAATATGGGCATTGGAGGTGAGGGGGATAGATGGGGAGGGGGGGGGGTCGTACGGATGGGTACCCTCAAGGGGGGGGTCGTAAATGAGGGTCCAGGATCGCATCAACACGCTTGACCCTGGTTGCAACAAAGTGCGGCGATGCGAACGACGCGTGCGACGTCACGACATTTCTTTGCTTTGATTTCAAAGAGAGAAAACTTAATTGTAGTAATGATGTGTACTGCGTGCAACATAGATACTTACACTATTAAAGATTGAGGTCTTGTTCCTATATTCCAAAAAAAACATAGGAGCA